GTTTATACTACTCATTTAAAATGAGTTGAAACTACACAATTGTTGAGGGGCTTTTGGGGCAACTTAATTGTTTATGTTCAATCCACTTAAATTTTTAAAAAATTAAGTTAACATAAATCCTTTTTGTTGTCCAAAAACAAATCGATTGGGTGGAACCCAGCATTTTTACAGTGATGTAACCGAGACTTTTAAAATCTTTAATAATTGATTGATTGATATTCTTCCATATATTTTTGCCTGCTTTATGTACACCCCATGAAAACATTGGTCCCAGTTGGTCTGATCAATTCAAAATTGAGGAAGCTAAAAGCACACCTCTCCTTGGTGTCATAGTTGAATATTTAAGGTTAAAGGTTTGCTCAAATCCCATTATAATAATAGTGCTTGCCTTAGCAATAAATACATGTTTGCAAACCACCAAACCATCATTGTGTCCAGAGCAGACACACAAATACCTCCACCTCTTCTTTGAGTAATCATTCATTATTGTGTATTAAGGCATAAGCGATAGCTATAGTTAATTTATAAATATAGATGAGTGCACAAATACTTGATCATGCCTGTTTGTGAATGAATCTGTGCTGTGCTGTTCCTCTCAGAGTTTCATTAGATTCAATGATCTATGCATAACATCATTTGAAGTCTTTGCAGATAAACACCAGTGGCTGTATGTCTGGGTATAACTTTAGAGAACATCCTTTATAATTCATTTTGATGAATCTTGACATTTTACATTTATATAAAGTGTATTGTTTGGGAAAGTGACTATTGTATGGAAGCTTTGAGTCTTTATAAATAAATATGATATTTTTTTGTTGGTATTCCTCAACATTTTGCAACTCATTTATCTTGATTTAAATGTATACATGTTGATTTGATTTATATATTGTGTTCTTAAAGATTTCTGATTTGGAATCAGGAGAGCACAATAAATGTGAGCGTGCTCACTCACACAGAATGTACTTTAGCTTATGAAATAATAATAATAATAATAATAATAATAATAATGATAATAATAATAATAACAATAATAATAATGATGATGATGATGATGATGATGATGATGATGATAATAATAATAATAATATATAATAATAATAATATTAATAAAATGAAATAATGTAAAATAAAATGAAAATAAATAATAATAAAGCAAAATAAAATAGTAATAATAATAAAAATAAAATAAATCCTAATAAAGCAAAATAAAACAATAATAATTATAATCATAAAAATAAATATATATGANATAAAATGAATAATTATAAAGCAAAATAATAACAATAATAATAATAATAAAATACACATTTATTATTGTAACTTCTAATATTTTGATTTA